TCAAGGATAAGCTGGTGGTGTTAAACAGCAGCTTTTATTGAAGCGGCAGTGTATAGCAGCAGCAGAGGTACTGCTCCTTGTGGATCAGGGCTACCCATAGGCAGTGTGCCCAGAGTAGCAACTCAGAGGTAGTTCTGCAGTCATATTTATACCCACTTTTAGTTACATGCAAATTAAGTGGCAGTTTATGCAGAAATTTTAGATGTCTAGGCTATTTCCGCAAGTACGTCCCAGGATGTAAGGTTGACGTCTCTGATATATTTGTAGATGTATTTATTAGAATAGATCTCTGACATGTTTGTGGATGTATGTCTCAGTGTGTGAGGTCACTGATCTGATCTGTGTTTGTGCATATATGTCCCAGGATTTTAGGTCTGTGATGTGTTTGTCATTGTAATTATCAGTATGTGAGGCATCTTTCATGGGTATATACTAAGAATAGAAGTTCTCTGATATGGTTGTGATTGAATGAACCTACGTGTGAGGTCTCTTATCTGTTTGTGGGTGTGTCCCACAGTGTGAGGTTCCCGAGCTGTTTGGGAGCTTATTTACCAGGATATAAGGCTTATGACCTTTTTCTTGTTGTGTGCCTCAGGATGTGAGGTCTGTGGCTATCATTGTGTATCCTGGTATGTGTGATCTTTTTCATGGGTGCATATAAAAAATGTAAGGTCTCTGATCTGTTTGTGATTATATGTCCCTGCATATTAAGTCTCTGATCAGTTTGTGGATTTAATTCCTAGAGTTTGGCATCATTAATGTGTTTGCAAGTGTATGTCCCATGACGTGATGTCTCTGACCTTTTTGAATATGTATGAGATATTTCATGTATTCCTCAGTGTATTTCCAAACCTGAGATCTCTCAACTATGTGACGGTGTATGTTCTATGATGTGAGGCTCCTTTTTTTTTTTTTTTTTTTACAGGTTTATTCCCAAGGATATGAGCTCTCTTGTCTCTTTTGGGTGGTATGTTGCAATTTGAGAGGACTGATTCATTTCTGAGTTGATTTCCCAGTATGTGAAGTCTCTGATGTGTTTGTGGTGTATATTGCAGGATTTACTTTTTTTTTTTTTTTTTTTTTTTTTTTTTTTGAGAGTGAGTCTTGCTCTATCGCCAGGCTGGAGTGCAGTAGCAAGATCCCGGCTCATTGCAACTTCTGTTTTCCGGTTTCAAGTAATTCTCCTGCCTCAGCCTCCTGAGTAGCTGGGACTACAGGCATGCACCACCACGCCTGACTAATTTTTTTGTATTTTTAGTACAGACAGGGTTTCACCATGTTGGCCAGGATGGTCTCCATCTCTTGACCTCGTGATCCACCCGCCTCAGTCTCCCAAAGTGCTGGGATTACAGGTGTGAGCCACTGAGCCCAGCCCTTTTTTTGTTTGTTTGTTTTTTTGCTCTGTCGCCCAGGCTGGAGTGCAGTGGTGCAATTTCGACTCACTGCAGCCTCTACCTCGTGGGTTCAAGCAATTCTCCTGCCTCAGCCTCCCGAGTAGCTGGACTACAAGCATGCACCACAACACCCAGCCAATTTTTGTATTGTTAGTAGAGATGGACTTTTACCATGTTGGCCAGGCTGGTCTCAAGCTCCTGACCTCAAGAGATCTTCCTGCCTTGACCTCCCAAAATGCTGGGATTACAGGTGTGAGCCACTGAACCCAGCCTTAGTTTGTATTTATGGATATACATACCAGGCTTTGAGGACTCTCACATGTTTCTATATATGTTCTGGGTATACCTAATATAATCTGTTTAGTTGTGAATGTCCAGGGTGTGGGGTTTCAAAGAGCTCATTGTGAGTATATGTCTTTTGGTATGAATCCTCTGATCTCTTTGTGGGTACATGTGGGTACCTGTTCCTGGATATGAGCTCTAGGATCTTTTTGTGGGTTTATGTCACAGGATCTTAGGTCTCTGATCTATTTCTGGCTTTTTTTTCTTAGCATGTCTGGTTTCTGATGTGCTTATAAGTGTATGTTGCAGCATTTAGGATCTCTGATCATATATAGTCTCTGACATGTTTTGGAGTATATCCCATAGCTTGAACTCCCTGAGCTGTTTGTTGGTGTATATCTCAGAGTGTGAGGTCTCTGATAACTTTTTTTTTTTTTTATTTTGAGACAGAGTCTCGTGCTGTCACCCAGGCTGGAGTGCAGTGGCTCAATCTCGGCTCACTGCAACCTCCACCTCCTGGGTTCTAACAGTTCTCCTGCCTCAGCCTCCCAAGTAGCTGGGACTACAGGTGCATGACACCATACCTGGTTATTTTTTGTATTTTTAGTAGAGGTGGGGTTTCACCATGTTGGCCAGGCTCCCGACCTCAAATGATCCACCCACCTCGACCTCCTAAAGTGCTGGGATTACAGGCATGAGCCACCATGCTTGGCCATCTCAGATATCTTTATGGGCATATGTTGCAGCATTTGACACCTGTAGTCTCTGTGTAGTTACATGTCTAAGTTATGAGGTCTCTAATCTGTTTGCTGATGTATATCCCAGCATGAGAACTCTCTGATCTTTTTTTTTTATTGTAGGTATATGCCTAATGGTGTGAAGATTCTGATGTGTTTTCTGGTAAATGAACTGGCTTGAGATAAGTCAGACATCCTTGAGGGAGTTTTTTTCAGGATGTGAGTTCTCTAATGTTTCTGAATACATATCCTAGGATGTGATATCTCAGAGCTATTTGTGGATATATATTCCAGGTGTGAGTTTTCTCAGCCATTTATGGATGTATATCCCAGGTTGTTAGATATCATTAGGCTTTTGGCATCATTTACAAGCATATGAGATTTCTGATTTGTATGCTTATATACATAACAGGTTGCAAGGCTTATTATTATTGTTGTTATTTATTTTATTTTATTTTTAGATGGAGTCTCGCTCTGTTGCCAGGCTGGAGTGCAGTAGCATGATCTTGGCTCACTGCAACCTCCAACTCCCTGGTTCAAAGCAGTTCCCCTGCCTAAGCCTCCCAAGTAGCTGGGATTACTGGCATACATCACCACGCCCAGCTAATTTTTTGAATTTTTAGTAGAGATGGGGTTTCACCATGTTGGCCAGGATGGTCTCAATCTCCTTACCTTGTGATCCACCTGCCTTGGCCTCCTGAAGTGCTGGGATTAAAGGCGTGAGCCACCGCGCCTGGCCTTTGTTTGTTAAACTGTGTATTTCCAGGGTATGAGGTTTCTGAGCTCTTTGTTGGTATATGTCTCAGGGTCAAGGCCTTTGATCTGTTTGCAAGTATATGTCCCAGGATCCTGGCTCTCTCATCTCTTTGTGGGCGTGTACCCCAAGATGTCAAGTATCTTTATTTTTTCTGGGTGTATTTGCCAGGATGTGAGATCTCTAACATGTTGTGGGTTCTTGTTGCAGGATTTTAGACCTAATCCATTTTGGTTATATTTCTTATATGAAGTCTCTGATCTATTTGTGTGTATATATTACAGCAGGCGTCCCCAAACTTTTTACACAGGGGACCAGTTCACTGTCCCTCAGACCGCTGGAGGGCCGCCACATACTGTGCTCCTCTCACTGACCATCAATGAAAGAGGTGCCCCTTCCTGAAGTGCGGCGGGGGGCCGGATAAATGGCCTCAGGGGGCCACATGCGGCCCATGGGCCGTAGTTTGGGGACGCCTGTATTACAGTATGTGAGGTTTTTTTTTTGTTTTGTTTTGTTTTGTTTTGTTTTAAGACAGGGTTTCACCATGTTGGTCAGGCTCGTCTTGAACTCCCGACCTCAGGCGATCCGCCCGCCTTGGCCTCCAAAGTGCTTGGATTACAGGCGTGAGCCACCACGCCGACCAGTATGTGAGTTTTTAAAAAAATATCTCAGCTGGGCACAGTGGCTCATACCTATAATCCCAGCACTTTAGAAGGCTGAGATGGAAGGATCACTTGATCCCAGGAGTTTGAGGTCAGTCTGGGAAACATAGTGAGACCTTGTCTGTACGAAAAATAAAAAATTAGCCAGGCTTGGTGGTGCACCCGTAGTCCTAGCTACTTGGGAGGCTGAGGTGAGAGGATCTACTTGAGCCCAGGAGTTTGAGGCTGCAATGTGTCTTTATTGCACCACTTTATTGCACTCCAGCCTGGATAACAGAGTGAGACTCTCTCAAAAAAAAAAAAAAAAAAAAAAAAAAAAGCATCTCTTTTGCTTTCGTATCAAGGGCATGAGTTCTGTTCTGTTTGTGGGTATATGTCCCAATTTGTGAGATCTCAGACCCATTTGTGGGTGTATGTCCCAGAACACGTGTGTGTCTGCTCTCTTTAGATGTATGTCTCAAGGTAGGAGATCTCTGATCACTTTCTAATGTGTAACTCAGGATGAGGTGAGCTGTTTGCAGTGTGTGTCCCAGCATTTCAGGTCTCTGAGCTTTCCGGATGTGTGTGAAGTCTCCCATTGTTTGTGCATGTATGTTTCTGCTCTGTGGACTTAAGGCCCCCGATTGTCCTAATCTTTGGAAACTGTCATGTAATCTTACGTGCTAAAAGGTACCTTGCAAACAACATGGATGGAACTGAAGGCCATTATCCTAAGTGAAATGACTCCAACAGAAAGTCAAAAACTGCATGTTCTCACTTTTAAGTGGGAACTGAACAGTGGGTACACATGGACATACAGAGTGGAGCAATAGACAACTGGAGACTCCAAAAGATGTGAGGGTGGAAGAGGGGCGAGGGATGAAATACCACCAATTGTATACAGTGTACATTATTCAGGTGGTAGGTACACTAAAAGCCCAGACTTCACCACTACGCAAGATATCCATGTATTATAACTGCACTTGTACCCCTAAATGTATAAAAATTTATATTTAAATTAATATATAAAAATTTAAGTGCTTGCTTCAACAGCACATATACTAAAATTAGAATGATACATAGAAGATTAGCATGGCCAGGCACGGTGGCTCACGCCTGTAATCCCAGCACTTTGGGAGGCTGAGGTGGGTGGATCATCTGAGGTCAGGAGTTCAAGACCAGCCTGACCAATATGGTGAAACCCCATCTTAAATAAATAAAAAAAAAAAAAAAGAAGATTAGCATGGCCCCTATGCAAGGATGACATGCAAATTCATGAAGCGTTCCAGAAAATTTTTTTAAAATTTAAAAAATTATTTTAAAGATGTTTATTAAAGACATTTTTAAGGCCAGGCGCAGTGGCTCATGGCTATAATCCCAGCACTTTGGGAGGCTGAGGTGGGCGGATCTCTTGAGGTCAGGAATTCAAGACCAGCCTGGCTAACATGGCAAAAGCCTGTCTCTATAAAAAATAAAAAAATTAGATGGGCATGGTGGTGCACACCTGTAATCCCAGCCACTTGGGAGGCTGAAGCAGGAGAAAGAATCCCTTGAACCCAGGAAGTGGAGGTAGCAGTGAGCAGAGATGGTGCCACTGCACTCCAGCCTGGGTGACAGAGACTCCGTCTCAAAAAAAAAAAAAAAAAATTAAACGATACCTTGCAGATGTGATTAAGTTAAGCATCTTGAGATGGGGAGATTTTCTTGAATTTTCACTGAATATAATGACACAAACTGAGTCAGAGACAACAATATGATGACACAACTGTTTGTGGGTGTGGGTCCCAGTTCTTTAAATCCTTGTGTTGTTCATGGGAGTATATCCCAGGAGGTGAAATCTCTAATTGTTTGTGCACACCTGTCTGTGGTTGGCTGAATAAAGCATCCCTCAAAGATGTCCAGCAAAAGAGATATAATCAGGGAACCTTAAGTGACGGAAGGGAATGTGATGGTGGAAGCAGAGTCAGAGAAGGAGATGCGATGACAGAGGCAGACATCAGAGAGCAGTTTGAAGATGAACTGCTGTCGGCTGTGAAGATGGAGAAAGGGGGAAGGGATGAAGGACTGCAGGCAGCCCTAGAACCCAGAAAAGGCAGGGAAACGTGCTCTTCCCTAGAGTCTCCAGAAAGAAGACAGCTCTGTTGACACCTGACTTTAGTACCTTAAGGCCCATTCCTGGGTTTCTGGCCCTCCACAAATGTAATATAATAAATAAATTTGTGTTTTTCACAGCATTAGGATTGTGGTGATTTGTTACAACAATAAGAAATGAATAATGTGTCCCAGGTCATGATGTCTCTGTCTGGTTGTTGGTTAACTTCCCAAGATGTGAACCCCCTATCTGTTTGTGAGTGTGTGTTTTATATGGCAGGTCTTTGATTTGTGTGTGGGTGTATGAACCAGTGAGGAGGTCTCTGACCTGTTTGAGAGTGTCTGTCTCTCAATTTGTGGTATTTGAGGTTTCTGTGGGTATATGTCTCAGGATATGAGGTCTCTGACCTGTTTGTGGGCACATGTCCTAGGATGTGAGGGCTCTTGGCTGATTTGGGGTGTGTGTTCCAGTATGTGAGGTCTCTGAGGTATTTGTGGGTTGTGTTTGGGTTTATGAGATCTCGGATTCATTTGAAAACCTATATGCAGGTTGAGCCTCACAAATATGAAAATCCAAAGTCTGAAATGCTTCAAAATCCAGAACTTGGCTGGGTGCGGTGGCTCACGCCTGTAACCCCAGCACTTTGGGAGGCCGAGGCAGGAAAATGGCTTGAGCCCAGGAGTTCGAGACCAGCCTGGCCAACACTATGAAATCTCATCTCTACTAAAAATACGAAAATTAGCTGGGTGTGGTGGCACATACCTGTAATCCCAGCTACTCAGGAGGCTGAGGCAGGAGAATTGCTTGAACCTGGGAGGTGGAGGTTGCGGTGAGCTGTGATCCTGCCACTGCACTCCAGCCTGGGCAACAATGAGACTCTGACAAAAAAAAAAAAACCATGAAATTTTTTGAGCACTGACATGATGCTCAAACGAAATGCTCATTGGAGCATTTTAGATTTCAGGTGTGGGATGCTCAACTGGAATGCACATATTCCAAAAATGGGAAAAAAATCCCAAATCCAAAACACTTCTGGTCCCAAGTATTATGGATAAGAAATATTCAACCTGTACCAGGATGAGATGCCTCTGATCTGTTTAGGTGTGTATCTCCAAGTGTGAGGTGTGAAATATCAGAGACCTCAAGCCATACATGATATATTCACAATAAATATCATAATCATATTTTTCTTTTTTGTGAATTAGAATATATATTAAATCAAATATAAATATATATTTTTATATATATACAAAGTATATATAATTTATATTTTTATATATTTTTATTATATATTAATCTATTATATTCTAATTCTATTATAAATTATATATTTAATATAATTATATGTATATTATACAAATGTATTGTAACATAATTATAATTACATATTGTATATGCTTTGTAATATATAGTATGTTATACATAATATCTATAATATAAAACATGTATTTTATATATTCTATATCATAATATAGAATATTTAATATAATATATGCATTGTATATATTATAATTCACAATTATAAGTATTGTGAACATATATGCACTACATAACAACTAACATATGGTATTATATATGATGTCATATAATATATAAGATATATATTATATATACTATTAATATAATATGTTATATAATATATATTTTATATAATATATAAACTATAATATAGTATTTTATGCATAATATAGTATACCATATATACAATATCATATTGTACCATATATGAAAATGTACATAATACAATATTTATTGTGAATATAACTATAATTTGCAATTATAAATATTGTGTACATAGATACACTAGTATATAATATAGTATTATATATAATTATATATTATAATTTTACATAAGATATACAAGATAATATTTTATATATCTTATAGAGCTTGTATTACATAATATACCTTATATATTACATTATATATAAAATGCATATTATATATGTAATATATGTTACATATTATATATAGTGCATATAGTTCAAACTATAATTGTGAATTATAATTACTGTATATTATATATTAATATATTAACATATAAGCATATGTTATAAGTATATGTTATATGTACATAATAGTATATAGAATGTATTAAAAGATATATTAACATATTAACATATAATTGTATATTCACATATATAAATGTATTATACATAATTGTATGTTAATATATATGTTAATGTATTATATATAATATATACTTATCATAACATGCTTATATGTTATATAATATAATTTATATTACTAATATTATATTTTAATACAATATTATATGTAGTAATTTATATTAGAATAATAATTTATGTTATAATATATAATAATTTATATTAGAATATATGTATTCACAATATTTATTGTGAATATATTATGCATGGCTTGAGGTCTGTAATATTTTTGTGGGTTTACATCCCAAGGATATGAACTCTGAATTCTCTGTGGGTGTATTCCGAAAATATCAGGTATATACTCAGTCTCTGGCTGTTTGTTCCAGAATGTGATATCTCTTCTTTGTGTGCATATGTTACAGGTTGAGATCTCTCTTCTGTTTGTGGATGTCTTGGGGTGTGAGGTCTCTGAGATCCATTTGTGAATAATGTATTGCAGGAATTGCCATCTCTTATCTGCTTGTGAATGTATTTCTCAGATGAGACCTGAATTCTGGTGTTGCCTTTATATTGCTGCATTTAAGTTTCTAATCTCCTCATGTGTGTTTGTCAAGGGTGTGAGGTATCTTCTGTTTGTGATTATTTGTCCCATGTGTGAAATATCCACCCTCTTTGTGGGTATATGACAAAGAACATGTGCTTCACTTTTCTGGGTGCTGTCCAAGGGTGGGAGGTCTCTGATCCCTTTGGAATCATATAACATAGGATGTGGAGTCTTTGAGTTGCTTATGTGTGGATACCTCAGCAAGTGATGTTTTTCATTGCTTGTGGATGTATATCCTAGGTTGGTGGAGTGACGGTCCACGAAGGATGTCCACATCCTTATATTCCTGGAACATGTGAATGTGACCTTACATGTTAAAAGGTCCTTGCAAATGTGATTAAGTAATCATCTTGAGATGGGGGAGGTGGTTCTGGATTTCCCAGGTGAGCCCAGTGTAATCACAAGGGTCCTTAGAGGAGAGAGGCAGGACAGTCTGAGTCAGAGAAGCAGATGTGATGCCAGAAGCAGACATCAGAGAGATAGGGAGAGATTTGAAGATGAAATGCTCCTGGCTTAATGAACAAATTTCCACCATAAGAGCAAAATAATAATAATAATAAATTAATTTTTTAAAAAAAGAAAGATAAAGAAGAAATGCTCCTGGCTTTGAAGGTGGAGGAAGGGTCCACAAGCCAAGGAATGCAAGCAGCTCTAGAAACTGGAAAAGGCAAAAGCATGGATTCTCCCCGAGAACCTCCAGGAGTAATGCAGCTCTGCTGACACTGTGATTTTAGCCCTTTGAAATCCATTGTTTTCTTCTGCCCTTCAGAAAAGTAAGATACTAAATTTGTGTTGTTTTATGACACTATGATTGTGATTTGTTACAGCACCAATCTCTGTTTCTTGGTACACGTCCCAGGATGTGAACTCCATGATCTGTTTGTGAATGTATGTTCAATGGTGAAGGCTCTGATATGTGTGCAGGTGTATGAATCACATTTGAGAGGTCTCTGAATGTTGAGGGTATATGTCCCAGAATCTGTGGTCTCTGAGCTGTTTGTGTGTGCATATCCTAGGATGTGACATCTCTGAGCTGATTTGGGGGAGTACATTCCAGTAGGTGAAGTCTTTGAGATATTTGTGGTTTACGTTCCAGGTTATTAGGTCTGTCATCTGTTTGGGGGTTATTTCCTGTGACATGAGGTTTCTGATTTGTTCGGTTACATACATACCAGGATGTTAGGTTGTTAGGTGTCTGGTCTGCTTAGCTTTATATGTCTAGGGTGTGAGGTTTCTGAGCTCTTTGTGGGTGTATGTCTCAGGGTTGAGGCCTCTGATCTGCTCGCTGGTAAATAAATATCCCAGCATATGAGCTCTCTGACCTGCTCATGGTTCTGTGTTACAAGATGTCGGGTCTATTTCTGGTGTTTTCCTAACCTGTGAGGTCTCTGACTTTATTGAAGTTGTACATTGCAGGATTTGAGATCTCTGTTTGTGGATATATGTCTTAGGAGTGTATGGTCTCTGCATTGCTTGTGGGGTATATCCCAG